TCTCAACAAAAAAATGTTTTCAATTCAGAAGCTTTCTCTGGTATCATTGGAGTCCGGTGTACTACCACCATGCCAGAAGTCGTATGGGTCGTCGCCGATGGTAATCATCGGTGATCAAAAAATTTTAAAATTCATCGAAAAGCTTTTTTTGCCTCCGAAGCTCAATCCGCTATCCTTTTCTCAAGAAATAGCCCCGATCGACGTAGATCAGGGTTTGAAGTTTTCTATATTCTATTTTTTTAAAGATTAATTAATGATTTTCTTTTTTTTGCACAAGTGGCTTTAGCGCTGAGGCTCCTTCTTATAGAAGACTGTGTTTTTATTTTGTTTTATTTTTTGTTTTTATGGATCTATTTTGGATTTTTTTATTTTCTGATAGGTAGGGATGGGGAAATGTTTGAGTTTCTGGGAATGGTTTTAAGCCTTTGCGGATGTGGAAGTTTTTGTGTTTTTGGCAATGAAGGTGCATCCCAGAGCTTGGAAGGGGAGAAAACTGGGTCCTTTATAGGGCCAAGTATATGTTCGAGACAGTGGGTGGTTTAGGGGCTGTAGGTGTCTGTAGGGGTTGCTGTAGGTATTTGTAGGGGTGGTTGGTCTAGTTAGGTCACAAGCATGGTTAGTCTGATGGGACTGGGGTGGTTAGTTTGATGGGACTGGGTGATTAGTCTGATGGATTGGATATGGTGCTGCACACCAATTCCCTGTATTTTTATTTATTTTTGTTTTGTTTTATTTATTTTATTAATTGTATCTTTTTTGTTTAATTAATAAAAATTAAAGTAAAAAAATAGAATAAAATATAATATAATATAAATATGTTTTGGACTTAAAAAATGAGATTGAGTTTCGGGCCTAGTTGGATCAAATTGAGCTTGAAGCCTAATTGAGTAAAAATTAAGCCTGATGCCTAGTTAAGCCAAAATCGAGACTGGGGCCCAGTCAAATCGAAATCAGGCCTGGGCTTAAAAACTCAATACACGCGACAAACTTTAAAACGAGACTTGACTAAAAATCAGACAAATTTGGTGTCTACAATTTTATGAGCAAATTATACAAACTAATAAGTTTAGACATTTATTAAAGTAAAAACATGAAAAGGTCCTTAAAAATCTTAAAAGTACTAAAATAGTTTGGTTTATTCATTAAGTTTATCCAATTATACTAGAAGTATAATTGTATTAAAGAAGTATAAAAGTATGAAAATAAAATGGTTGAAATTAACGAGTATAGAGTTGTGGCCACAACCAAAACTAACTATTTCTTAAAATAATAAGAATGAGGCAACAATGTCTAAAGCATATAAATGATATAAAAAATAAAAAGTTTAGACATATTAACCTAAAGTTATTATATTATAGATTCAATCTCAAGTAAGGGAATTACTATAAAAAAAAAATAAATTTCAAGATATTTGGTTAGTAGTACTACAAGTAGAATGGAGTTAAACCCTTACTACAGCAATAATGAGAATCCAACTTTGAATTAGTAATCTCTAATTAAAAAGTTTAATGGTAAAAATAAGTTATTGTTATATCTTTGTTAAGCACTAGTAAAATCCATTCAAATTTTAGAAACTAGTATAATTCATTACGTGGGGAATATGAGTTTTATACTCTTAATGAAATTTTAAATATCTAAAGCAATGTAGGCATAATGAAAATTTTACCTATATAAACATAGAAGTAGTGCCGCTTCAATAAGAATAATTGGAATCTCTTTTTTAAATGTTTATGAATAAGATGAGCACAATGGTTATAAACCTTTGACAGAAAAAAAAAAGAAAGTACTATGTATGTTATATCTTTAATTCTAACACTAAGAGTTGAGATTTAATCTACGGACACCATTAACTTCATTAGAATCTTGAGATATATATATGCTAATTGAAAGTTTAAATCGAGATATATCTTCTTTTATTCATAATATTTATTTGTGTGAAAGGTTAACAATTAAGTATCAACATTTCAAACTAGTGACAGATTGTTAGTAGTTTAAAATGTAATATATCTCACAACGGATAGAAAGATTTAATTATTTATATTTTAAATAATTATGTTTGAACAGAAATATTTATTATATGATAAATGGTCAAAATTATTTGAATATAAATAAAGTATATTTATAAATGTTATGATTATACATAATGTTATAATCATTTGAATAAAAGTTTATATCTGTTCATTTATTATAAATAAATCTTTTAGTATAATCAATTTAACCATTTCTGCTTTGAAAATTTTGAGATTTTATTATATCTTAAGAACATAATTACTTTTAAAAAAATATTTTTCATGTCTCAAAATCAAAATTCTTTTATGTTAATTTTGTAATTTATTTTTTCTAAGAGTTTGACGCCCGCTTAAGTTGCATATTCTTCGTACTTCATAGCTCCATAAATAGAGTGCTTACTGGTAATAAATTTTTTTTTCCAACAATTTTTTATCAGATTATATATATTTACAAGTAAGATTGTATAAATATTATCATATATGACGTAATTATTACACCATGCAATGTATTAGTTTCTAACAAACAAATTAAATATATTAAAAAAATAATATCAAATGCCACCTAATTATCCTAAAAAAGAGTTGGCTATTTCTTACTTTATCTTGCTATTTCCTACTTTTATCTTGCAGCGTAATATGAAGGCTACTGCAACTCCGTAATCAACCAAAACCTATGACCACAAAACATTTTCACAATTCTATGAAGCCTTAACATCTTTCTTTTTTGAGGTGAATTGGAAAAAATTACATTGCAAAAAACCCTCACCCATATAATGAGAAAATTTGTGTCAGTTACAAGTAAAGTATCACTTGTTTTTCGATTTTTATTTAATATATATTAAGTATAAAAAAATAATATTTTTCAAATGTAACATATATATGACAACATATACCACTAACTCATATATATATATATATATATATATATATATTAGTATGCTTTTGTTAGCTTATTTATTTTATCATCAAATTCAGTCGTATTCCTTTTGAGCACTTAATTATGTAGATTGTTTTATGTATAATTTTCAAGCTATATACTGATATTCACATGGTGGAAAAGAAAGCAAAATAATGATAAAAATGTGATATAGTAACAGAATTGATATGGGATAAGATATGAACTGACATTTTTCTTTTATTATTAATTTCGATGTGATTTTCCTATATAGAGAGATGGCTTGACAAAGAATCAAAGATAATTCCTAGGTGCTTCTTTCTCCATTTACCATATTCACTTGACACAATACATAGAAGTTGAGAATATTTCAATGTTAAAATTGATATTATTTTGTCTTAATATGTATTTGGTTCATTGATAAATGCATGTACCTTTTACTAATTAAAGAATTAGAATCGAATTTCTCTTAAATAAAAAAAAAATTATTGGTGTCATTTCGTGCAAACTTTTTGCTAAAATTAATTTGAATTTTTCAGAGGTTGAAAATGGCATTAAGTGCCTATAATTAGCATTTAACATAGGAGTATGCCTTATTGGAAATACTAGAAATAAAGAGCGTTTTCATTTTAAAACTTTAAGGCATCTAACCACTTCAATTTGAAAGGATAATTGTGTGCATTCTTTTCTTTTGCTTAATCAAGATATATAGAGAAACAATTATGATATATAAGTCTGGTTCAATGAATGAAATAGAATAAATATTTTGTGAATAAATAAAAATAGTGAATGAGTTTGATGAAAATTTTTTTTTCTAGTATTTGGTTTAGGGAAGGGATGTGAAGCATTTTTTGGTAGAAATCATTCTTTTTTTTTCTTTTTTATGTATGTTATGGAATAATAGGCAACAACTTACCATTAAATGTTACAGCTGTCTTCAAACAGAGAAAGATCAGAAGAACGACACTGTATGCATGATCCAGAACATCCTGCTCTCATGGGCTCCAATGTTGAGCTAATGCTAGGGGTTCCGTGTACTGATCTTCAGCGTCTCGCTGCCAGTCAAGCCAATGCAAAAACCTGGTCCAGACTAAAACATTGCTGTTGGAAAGGAAGTTCACCTTCGGATCCGTCTGCACCATTTCTACTCCCTGCCATTCAAAACATTGGCAATGTAATTGTCGCAGCTGGCCTTGGTAACCAAATCAAAGTTTCCAAAGGCATCGACACAGGGACCCATGGAGAATCTTCCCCTCCATCAAGGGTCTTTTAGGTCTGAATACCACCTTCCTAGGGAACAACCAGGCCTCATTGCTGTCAACTTATAGACGTATTTTAGCTACGATGACAACAGCAACATCGATCTGCAATTTGCTCTCTTCACAGCTCAAAATCTTGTAGTCCCAGATCCTTCCTTGCAGTACCGTAACCCTTTTTATGCCATCTTGGATGCTGTTTACGCTGCCCTGGAGAAGGCTGGTGGGCGGGGCTTGTTGGAGATTGTTGTATCGGAGAGTGGACGGTGGCCTTCAGCTGGAGGTAAGAAAAGGGCAGCAACAAATATTGATAATGCAAGAATTTATAACCAAAACTTTTTTATCACTTCATCTTCATCAACCTGTACATATCCACCCTCGAACATCAATGGTTCTTTTTCTTATTTGTTTTTTCTTTTTCTCTCTCTTTGATTCTCAAATCCCTATCTACATCAAATCAAATGCCTCTGTTTGGCAACAAGAATGTCCAGGAAAAATTGTAAATAGAATTAAAAAAGCTCCAACTACAGTTGCCTGAAAGTTTTTTTTAAGTGATCCTATCCTAAAACTGTAAATTCATACAAATGAACACAATACCCATAATCCAAGGATCCATTCCAAACCTAGAAATCTTTTAGTCTTGAGACAGTATAGTTTGGTTAATTTTCTTATTAAAGGTTAAAACTTCAATGGAAAACAGAAATTCTAGAATAACTCGTTTTCCTTTTTTTTCTTTTCTTTTCTAAATTCTAAAGAGATTAGGAGTTTTGAATATTTCAATTAAGATAGTTGCAGACAAGTTGGTCGAATAAGCAATGAGAAAAGAAGCAAGAAAAGGAAAGCCCATAAATCCGTAAACCAAGCTTATGAATATTTAAGCTTTGCTTGGTAGTAAGGAAGGAAAGGAGTGAAAATGAAAAACTTGTTAATCCAATTATTAAAATTTATACCCATTTTTCTACTTTGTAACTTAACTATTAGAATAAAAAATTTCCCATCTTCATCCTTTTCTATCCTTCCTACCAGGCAAAGCATTAGGGTGGGGACTCTTCCAGACGGGTAAAAGATTCTATCTACATTCATACCCTCCACAGATGACTGTCTTTGTTTCCTCTCGACCACGTTATAGCTCTTTATTCTTATTCATTTTGAAACTGGAACCAGCTTCACTCTAACGAAGCAACTCTGGATATATCTCTGCTGGACCTGTTATATTTCAAGTGACTCTTGACAAGCTGACCATCAGCAATTGCAGCAAGCAAAGAAAGCTCTCCTGCCAGAACAGAGCCAGCCACAATTGTTGCCAAGAGCTTTGAGTTTGACCCTGGCGACTCTTTACTTGCACCCTTCACCCCAAGCAAATTCAGGCATGCAGACTGTGACGCAAGTTGAGTTCCACCCCCAATTGTGCCCACCTGATGAGAACATAAATCATATTACATATGTGGTGGTAATTAAAGAAGAAAAAAAAGGTTCCACTTTGCGTAAATAGAAAGTTAAATCACCTCAATGGCAGGCATAGTCACAGATATGTGAAGATCTTTCCCATCATTGACAGCTTCCATCATGGTAATGCAGTGGGAGCTCTCAACATTTTGTGCTGGATCTTGTCCTGTTGCTATGAAGATAGCAGAGACAATGTTGCTTGCATGGGCATTAAATCCACCAAGAGCACCAGCAACGGCAGAACCAACCAGGTTCTTGAGCATGTTGAGTTCTACTAGTGTAGCAACATTGGTTTTGAAAACCTTCTTCAATATCTCTTCTTTAATAATTGCTTCACACACCACTGATTTGCCTCGCCCTTCAATCCAGTTAATAGCAGCAGGTTTCTTGTCTGAACAAAAGTTTCCTAGCAAATAAAGTAACATAAAAGCATAATTAAGGCACACAAAGTTTGGCACCATGATAATTACTATAATACTTTGAAAAAAGATATACATATAATGTTGTTTGCTAAACAAAAACGCAAAGACTATGATGAAACTTAGAAATGGATACATATAAGAAGTTAACCTACCAGAGATACCAATAACATCCATGTCAGGATAATCACTTTGAAGGTATACCAGGATGTTCTCAACCCCCTTGGAAACCATATTCATTCCCATAGCATCCCCAGTGCTGCAGCTAAATCTCATATAGACATTTCTACCGGCAACAGAACATTGGACACTCTGAAGTCTTGCAAAGTTACTTGACCTGGCAACCAGTGGAACATTTATGACTTCTTCAATGAACACATATGAAACTAAAACCACTGTAACATGCAACCCCAATTCCAACCTTTTTCCATTGCCACACAAGGGTTTTAATGCATGTTTAATATGAAATATAGCATAATAAAACTAGAGTAGTTAAAGGAGGTAGAATAATATAATTACCATTCAATCTTGATTCCCTTATTCATAGCTAAATTGAAATGAACATGCCACAAACATATTTATCAACTCGTGAAAATTTTAAGCTTAAATGATTCTTCTGGAAACAGATCAATTCAAAAAATTGACAAAGGTTAAAGACACAAAAACCTTCTCCAGCAAAAGTCATAAGGAAAGCGTTCAATTGTAAATACCCATCAACACACAACATTAAAACATATAGAATGAGGTTGCACGAACATAAAGTCATAAATCCTAAGCAACGAAAATGATGAATGGAATTTAATACCATAAAAAAATTAAATAAGCAATCGAAGATTTTAATTTCTTTTATGTTACTTGTTAAATTTGTCGGCCAGTGTCTGAAAATTTGACGGATTCTCGAGGAAAAACTTGAGATGGCAAGCCCTGGCGGCTGTGGGGAACCTGACAATGGAGCTCTGGTCATACCGTCCCTCAATATGATGCTAGTGGCCCCACCGGATGCATAGATACCCTTGAACCCTCGGTTGGTGCTGGCAACCAGGCAGCCTCGTGGTAGCCATGGGGACAATGTACTCGAAACCATCGAGGAGCAATGGCCCCGCAATCCCCACTGGAATCTGCACGTAGCCTACTGGCATTTCACAGCACTTCTTCAGAATGGAGTCATAATCGAAGCCATCCAAAGGTAACCCCTGCAATGACCTCCCAGTAGTCCTCTGTAAAGCCTCTCTTCGAAGGCGGGCCGCTTTCTTGCAATCTCCAAGTTTTTCTTCGAGATTGTGTGAGGGGATTGTTCCCTTGATAACCCATTCTATGATTTCTTCGTCTTCGGCAGAGGAAACCCCCGGAATTAGATGGACAGGAATAGAGGGAGGGCAAGTCAGCAGCTGGTGTCTGAGATCGTCGACGTTGTCGTCGTCGTCAAGGTCCCAAGCGTCGTTGGAGGCGCGCCCAATGAAGGACTGGGAAAAGCCAATACCGAAGAAGCCAAGGAGGTATATGAAGGAGGCAATGAGAGAGACAATGGAAGCCAGTTCGAAGAAAGTGACGACGTGTAGGGTCATGCAGTTTCGGATCTTGTCCCGCCAACCGAGCAGCAAGTAGTACGCCGCCGAGAAGAAAAGCGTGAAGAAAATGGAGTTGGTCAGGTAAAGAGGGAGCGGGAGTGCATCTGATGCCTTGGGAGCAGCTGATTGCTCAGTCGCAGCAAGTCGGGGTACTCTTGAAGGTCGCCGGCGGACGTCCATTTTGAAAAATTCTGGCGGACAAGAAAGTTTGTGAGAGAGAGAGTACAAACTACTACACTTGTAGTAGTCTGGTTTTGAAGAAGGGACGATAAGAGATTGCAGGAAAAGGAATCGCGAGAAATGAGGGTCAAATGGCCTATGGGAGGAACTCAATTTTTATACTAGTATTTGTAGGAGTACAGTAGGCCCCACTGTGAAAAACATGTGTTGTCTCAGCTCTGCACTCTCAGGTGTCGTGTTTGTTTTGGACTGCATAGGTTACATTTCCATCTAAGCACCTGCACGTGTCACGTTCTTTACGTTTTTTTTTTTTTCTATTTTGGTAATTTTCTTTTTTTTTAAGGAAATGAAACTAGATAGAAAGATCATAGAATAATACGATCCATAGTTCTCCGTATAACGTATTACATCATCCGCAAACAAGTTCAAAATAAAATCAAAAGGGTTTGGAAATAACACAAAAAGATTTTTATTATATTTATTTTTTGCAAGTTAGTCGCTTTCAAATTGAGCTAAAGCATTTGCACAGATGTTTCCCTCCCTGAAGGTATGCATAACTTGACAGGATCTAATTCCCACCAATAATTTCCTGCAATCATAGATAAGGGGTTGCAAACACAAGTAGAGGTGGTTTGATTTTTGATCAAGGAAATAACAGCAATAGCATCAAGCTCCAAATCAAGGCAGGAAATATTGAATTGTTTAGCCAGCATTAATCCATCCTTTAAAGCCCATAACTCAGCAAGAGTGTTCATTCCATGTCCTATAGCTCTAGCGATACCAGACACCCATCTCCCTTCATGGTCCCATATGATGGTTCCAGCCTTACTTTCCCTGGGTTACCCATAAAGGATCCATCAATGTTAAGCTTAAACCGTCCAAACTCGAGTGGTTTCCATTTAACAGGGACGAAAGAGACTTGGGCATTTCTCACATGTCCCTGGTTCATCGCAAAAAATTCCCTTGCTTTATAAATCGCACGCTTAACAATATCCTCCCTTCTACTAATCCCCTCGAAAATCCTATGGTTTCTCTCCAGCTAAACTTCCCACATAATGTGAACAAACAAAAAACCCTAGGGATATCATGACAAACAGATCTTTTTTTGTCAGTTGCTTTCTTACTAATCCAGTCCCTAAACTCCCCTTTCAGAAGACAGGTCAAGAACATCTCCTTGGTTCCTCTACACATGCGTGGTCAATTGGCACTCACGTAAAATGTGTTGAATATCTTCATTCTCTTGCCCACAGAACATGCAGTTGTTTTGTACGTTCATTCTACTTGTATGAGAAGGGATTTTGTTGGTAAGATCTCATGCATGCACTGTCAGACAAAGAAGTGGAGCTTGGTTAAAATCTTCAATTTCCAAATCCAGCTCTAATCGGTTCTTCTGACATTATCACTTTTTCCTTTTATGAGGTCGTAAGCTGATTGGGTAGTAAAATTGCCATTTGCTGAAGCTGTCCAATATGAGAAGTCCTCTCCTTGTCCACATAATTAGGACGGGACAACTCGCATAGCCTCGATCATTGACAGCGAAATATGGAAGGAAATGGGGCAATCCTTCTAAAGATGAAGGACATGCAAAATTTCTTTGACTTTGATTCCTTCTTCATTTCTATTCAGAGGCCCCTGGATCAGAGATCGTATTATAACACCACCCATCCATTTGTCATACCAAAAGCTGGTATTTACACCATTACGAACCACCCAACCAAGACCTCTATCCAGAACAGAACCCGCCCATTTCATTGCTTTTCTTATGGTAGGAAGGTTCGGTTTTAGCTTTTAACTGCTACCATTGCTCAAGTACTTGGCTTGGATGGTTTGGGCCCAGGGTTCGTCCTTGTAGTGCATAAACTTCCACACCAACTTAGTGAATTAGGCTTGGTTTTGAATCTTGGTGTCCCCTAGACCCAGTCCTCCCTCTTCTTTGTTCTTAGATTTTTTGTTCCAATTTAGGAGATGAATTTTCCTCTTTTGGTCAGTATCACACTAAAGAAATTTCCTATTAATTCTATTAAGTTCCTTGCAAACACTTGAGGGAAGAGCATGGCATTGCATGTAGCAGGAAAGGATCATTTGCATAACAGACTTAATCAACAACAGCCTCCCTACAGGAGATAACAGGCCTGCCTTCCAACCTGTTAACTTGGCCCTAACTTTTATCAATGACAAAGGCGTTATCATGCTTACTGACTCGTCCCTTATGAAGGGGGAAACCCAGATATCAGCCGAGGTCATCTGTTTCCAGAATGTCCAAGATGTTGACCAAGGTCTCCCTATGGCTTTGGTTGGTGTTAGTCGAGAAGAAAATGCGTGATTTGTTGGAATTCACCTTTTGGCCAGATTCGGCACAAAAAGAGTTAAGCACCTCTCTCATAGTTTCAACAATTCCCGTCCGCCTTTCTAAAAAGAATTATATCATCCGCAAAAATAATGTGGAAGAAAAACGGACCATTTTTGGATGGTTTGCAGATAAACCACCTCTTATCTTCGCAAGCTTCCAAAATCCTTAGGCTGAGAAAGTCCATGCACGTGATAAATAAGGGCACAGAGGGTCCCCCTGCCATATGCCCCTTGAGGGCCTGAAGCTTTCGAGCATCCCTCCATTTAAAAGGATTAAAATGGAAGAGGATGAAATGCAGCTCTTGATAAGATTAATCAGGGGTGAAGGCACGTTGAGGAAGTTAAGAACCTTTCTAATAAAGCTCCACTCCAGCCTATCATAAGCTTTATCTAGGTCAAGTTTCACCACCATCTAGCCCTTTTTTGCTTTGGATTTTTTAAATGAATGGATAATTTCTTGTATAATGATGCATTTGTCGTATCCTTTCCTCCCTGGAACAAAGCTGGTCTGAAAGGGGGATAAGATTCTGCTGAGGAAAGGCCTGAGATTTTGAACCACAATCTTTGTGACTATTTTATACTAGACATTACAAAGGCTGATAGGTCGAAATTGATCAATGCGTGTTGGGCTTGCTACCTTAGGGATCAACGATATGAGCATTCCATTAAGGGTCTCAAGTGTGGCCTCTGCCATGAAGATGTCTTTGATCGTTTCATAAATTTCTCCTTTAATGTTCCAGCATCATTGATAAAAATAAGGATGCAATCTGTCCAGTCCTAAGGCTTTGAATAGGGCTGTAAATGAACCAAATCGAGCCGAGTATTCTATGTTTAAATTTAGTTCGGTTAGTAATAAACAAGCAATTGAATGAGCTCTTACCGAACTGCACAAACATATGTTCAAGCTTGGTTTGACTATTTTCAATGAACTTTTGCTAAAAACAAACGAGCTCTAGCTTTATATCCCCATACTAGAGACTTTTTTCGTATTACAGCCCAAAACCGTTGTGCCCACAACTAACTAATGAATTCTTAGATAAACAGTAAGAAGAGGGTGAGACTTTATTGGCTTTACTCATCCCTTGTTTTGGTTTTTTAGCGATGTAGGATTCATTTGAACGTGATCAGATGTTTAGCATAGGAAGAGGATGGGAATATATACTCTTTAACCATTCCTTGTTTTAGTTTTTAAAAAGATGTGGGATTCATTTGTTTATACACAGATGTGCAGTAGTGGAAGAGGATGAGAATTTATAGGCTTTACCTATCCTTTCTTTCGATTGTTAAACGATGTGGGATTCAAAATGTGTAAAAGATGGGCATTTATACACTTTACCCATCCCTTTTTTTTTTTATTATTGTTAAACAATGTAGGATTCATTGTATAGGCACACATTACAAAATATTTTTCATATATTAGTGTCACGGACTTAAGGAAGAGTCCTGAATCTCACATCGAACATAATAGGAGGGTTTCTGGGGTATAAAAGGGTTCACACCACCTCTACCTTGTGAGGCACCTTTTGTAGGACAAAACCGTGAGGCCAGGAGGGCCAGAGCGGACAATACCTCACAAGAGTGTGAACCGTGGCAAGAAGGCTGATCTGGGACGCCGAAAGGGTGAATGCCCGAGTCCTGGAGTCGCACGGGTTCGGACCTTAATTCTCGACCCGTGACAAGTGGTATCAGAGCCAACCCTAAACCGTTCGATCTACGCCAAGCGTCTCGAGGAAGGTAGGTAGGGTGGCCAGCCTCCGTGACGAGGACGTCACGAGGTTAGGTGAGGAAGAATGTCATGGACCTAAGGAAGAGTCCTGAATCCCACATCGAACATAATAGGAGGGTCCCTAGGGTATAAAAGGTTTCACACCACCTCCGCCTTGTGAGGCGTCTTTTGTAGGATAAAACCGTGAGGCCAGGGGGGTCAGAGTGGATAATACCTCACAATGGTGTGAACTGTGGCAAGAAGGCTGATCTGGGACGCCGGAAGGGTGAATGCCCGGGTCCCGGAGCCGCGTGAGTTCGGAGCTTAAGTCTCGACCCGTGACACTAGCGCTTGGTTATACTGACAGTCAAATTTCGTCAATAAAAAAGATTTTTACTGACAGATTTTTAATACCGTCAGAATATACCATACTTATACCAATATTTTATTTAACCATCAATATAAATGAACTTCTTCTTATGGTATATGACTATCCATCAGTATAAATATGTTATATACTGACAATTATTAACATAACCGTCAATATAAGTTCAAAAAAAAAAAACTATTAGCTTACAAAAAATTGAATAGGATTATTGAAGGCCTTTTTTGCCAAAAATACATTTAATAATGTATTCAAAAAATTTTGGAGAAGGATTATTAAAGACGTTTTTGATCAAAAATGCCTTCAATAATTAATACAAAAATTTTTTGTATGGATTATTTACTAACGATTAAATTTCATCATTACAAGAAACTTTTACTAACAGATTTTTAATACCGTTAGAATATAGCATACTTATACCAACACTTTAGTTAACCATCGATATAAAAAAAACTTTTTCTAATAGTATATGACTATTCGTCAATATAAATATATTATATACTGATAGTTATTAATGTAACTGTCAATATAGGCTCAAAAAAAATTATTGACTTACAAAAAATTGAATGGGATTATTGAAGGTATTTTTGGTCAAAAAAGCATTCAATAATCCATTCAAAAAATTTTGGA